AAAAAAAAAAAAAAAAAAGAAAGAAAGAAAAAGAAAGAAAGAAAGAAAGAAAGAAAGAAGAAAGGAAGAAAGAAAAGAGCAAAGGAAAATAGAGTTTCAGGTTAAATCTGTTCTTTTCTTTTGAAAGTATATTTATTTTTCAGACACCTCTGCTAAAAAGAAAATCAGTGTTAAATATTGCTTAAAAAAAAAGACAGATTAGACTTTCTGACACATTGAAATTATATGGGAAACATTGTCAGATATGAAATGGTGTTTAATTCTCTGTGTATAAAAATTGGTGTCAATGGGTGTTCCAAAATTGTATGAGATTCTTAAATATCTGTTATGTATTAGTAGCTGTTAGTCATACTTGTAATGCTAAATAGTTCTAATGTAGTTTGTCACAGAAATGACCAAATTTATCAATCTGGGGTAATGGTAAAATCAGATCTCAGACCACGGCCATTTTAATTTCATTGTCCATAGTTAATTGCTTTATTCTGATGCTCTTTCTAAACTATTTTGTAATAGGCTACAATTCAAAAATAGCCTCTTTTAAAGAAATTCATGTAAAAGAGTTTGATAAGTCCTCTTGAATATAGGTTTTCCATAACTTGAAGATATGTCTGAACTTCCAGAATGTAAAAAAGAAAAGATTGGACCACAGTAACACTGAAAACTCGACAGAAGAGAGATTGAACTGAGAGGTTGAACATGAGACTGAACTGGTGAAATAGAATTTTGTGACCTCTGACTAGAACGTTACTGATTTTTTTCTATGCTTTGTTCTTTTTTTTTTTTTTGGAGAGGTTTTTGCTATAGGGCGCGTGTGCTCGCCACACAGACAGAGAGAGACAGAGAGATAGAAAGCGAGAAATCATCCCCCAGGGGGGATGGCCACGTCGCAGTCTCTTCTCCTCCATTCTCCTCTCGGGATCTTGGGCACGCACACACACGCGCCCGGCGTGAGTTTTAAGCCACCGGGTTTGGGACAGGAACTGCATTCTGCTACGTGGGAGTCCAGCGACATAGCCATTACACGAACTGCTGGTTCCTCTATGCTTTGTTCTTCAGATTTAAGGATTTTTGTTTTCTTTTGAGCTGTTGATAGCTTCAGCAATTCATTAAAAAAATATTTTGAAAATAGAATTGAAACATAAACTTTTCTCCCTTCCTGGCCCCTCCAAAACTGGAAAGCATTTATGAATGTTTTTTTTTGTTGTAGCAGTATGGCTATTTGCATAAATTTAATAATACCTGTTGCCTTACACCAGAAATTGGAAACATTGGTTATTGCCAGGACTTTGACTGGAAGGTCATATCTGAAGATGTGACCAGAGAGCTAAGGAACTAAGGTAGATCTCAAGAGAGCCAACAGAAGCTCTTGGAAAGATTGCCTGGTCCCATAAACAGTTCTGCCTGACAGGCCTGAAAACTTCCAAAACAGGTACTTAAAGGCACAGTCAGATGGTGAATTCCTGACTCGGCTCAGTAGCCTTGGGAGGCTTTATAAAGAGTCTAATCTGAAGTTCCTTATAAAAGGTTCCAGCAAAGCCAACTAAATCAATTAGTATTCTTATTGGGCTTTGTGCAAATAACAAGAAACAGACCAAATTGAGAGTAAACTTATTTTTTTGCAAATAAGTTAGTTTATGCTTCTCTTTGGTTAAAGGGGAAGTGAAGAGAGAAAAAAATGTTTCAGAAGACAACTAGAGTGCACTTGTTACTAGATTTTAGCTCTCTCCTTATTTGTTTTTTGAGTTTTTAGTACCTACTTCCTTCCTGTCTGGTACCATCCACAATTCTTTATAAAAACTCTTCACAATGCTATTTTAAAAAATGAAAATATGATCATGAGCCTTCTTTCTTAAAATTCTTCATGATGTGGGGGGCAGATGGTGGCACAGTGGTAAAAAGTGATCCTGTAAGAGACTGACCCAAATGAGAGGGTACCCATTTCGAGTCTACAGACCTCCCTGGATACTCTAGGCATAAGAGTGCCCATGATCCAGGGCTGGTCAGGGATAAGGGTGGATCGCAGCATCAGGACCACGCTGGGGCTGCTGTCTCTCCATCTTTCTTTCTCTCTGATTGTCTCACTCATGGAAGAAATAAACACTCTTCTTTGGCTCCCAAATAATTTATAGGATAGCACCCAAACTCCTCAACATATGAATAGATAGAATCCATTCTCTAATACCTCCTCATTACTCTTTTAGCTCTATTTTGATCTTTCCTTTCACTGTAGGATCCATACCTTACTTTTTTTTACTTACCCATTTGCTCACAATACATTTCTAGAGAACAGAGAATTATTTTCAAATTGAATTCTGAAATCCTGTGGCTGTGATGCAGCATGGTGGTTGGCCTCTAAGTAAAACTGGGGTCAGCAAATGGCATAGTGCTTAAGGTACTGGACTCCCACATGGCTGACTGTGGTTCAAGTCCTGGACCTTGCAGTTTGAAAACCATGCCAGGTGCATGTGCATGCATGCCCAAAATCCCAAGAGGAGAATGAGGAGGAGGATTGCAACATGGCCATCTTTCTCACTTTCCCTCTCACTGTCTGCCAAGTGTACATACCCTATGGCAAAAACCTTAAAAAAAAAAAGTAAACCCAATAAATACACACTCAGAATAGTCATTAGCATTAATTTTAATGAACAATTCAGCTGAAGAACAGAACTAGAATAGTGTTTAATATCATCTTCTGAGAAATCACATTTATATAAAAGAAATGAAACAGGCCAGCAGAGTTCCAAAAAAAAAAGGTGCAGCTTACGTTATTGCACGTGGATGAAATATGCTATTTAGGGTAGCATAACACTCAGACCAGGCCAGGAGGAGGAAAGGTCGAACACAGAGAACAAACCTCCAGGTAGTATTTATTTTGGATTCCAACTCTCCAGTGGCCTCAAATATATTTACTGTATTCAAAACATTTATCAAGAGCTCTTTGCAAAAAACAACTGCAGTGTTTTCAACATGTTTGTTCCAATCATGTACAAATACAACGAATAGCTCTACCTCACCTAGGGAATATCTGTAACACCAAATCCTCCCAGTGTCCAAGGTTAAAGGCAAGTGAGGAAGGGAGTAAATTTCTACCTTACACATATTTTAGGGAACAATACTGTGGCTGTCATTTACCCTTTCAAGCACTCTTGATTTTGGTCATTTATACTGAAACATGAGAAAAAGTGACAGTGAATACAACTGAGTACTAAAGTAATTTCTTGGCTGCTACTAGAAAATAAAATAAAATTTAAAAAAGTGTCCTGCCACCTTCATGAGGAGGCAGTAACTGTATGTATGTAAGAAAAAGACTGTAAACTTATAGAAAAGATAAACTCTGGCTTTTAACCAAGTTACAAAATTGATTTTGCCTTTACTTTTGAGTGTTATACAGAAAAATGTAAACCTGTGGACCTAGTTACCATAGAACACTTATCCTCTTAAGGCCAAGTGTACCCTTAAAGTTTGGCCTGAGCTAGCTTTATCTTCAAGTTTTCTCCAAGTTTGTCCATGAACTCAAATGTATTCAAGTAGTCCGAACGTTGCACGCTAACGGGGGAGGAAAAAGAAAAAAAAGAAATTTAGTTGGTTTCTCATAGCACAGTTAGAGGAAGAGTCCTACAAATGCGACTTAAGATGGTATTTTATTTATTTCTGGAAGGAGACCAATGAATGTTAGCAAGTTATGGACAGTAACTATTCAACATTCACCAGACCTGTGGTACCCAGGAATGTGCTGCTCAAGAGAAGCCAGACCCATATGACGACTGTGGTTTGAATTCCTGGACTGGTTTGCCTGTAACATGCTAGGCATGTATGTGAGTACCCAGGATACTACGTGCTGGAGGAAGGGGACTGTGGTGTGACCATACCCTGTTGAAGGGTGCTCTTCTGTCTGCATACATGAGCTCTCTTGAATAATAACTTTAAAAAGGAGTCAGACAATGGTGCAGTAGGAACACATGGCTCTGCAGGCTGACCCATGTGAAAGGTTCTGGGTTTTTGTTGGAGACCTCCCTGAGCATGACTGGTAGATGATCTGGGGATGACTGAGGACAGCGGTGGATCCCTCTCCGTGTTTCTCTGTTTTTCTTGTTAAAAAAACAAACAAACCAAAACAAAAAAACAGTGCTGTCTCATAGCAAGACTAAATATATACTTATTTTTAAAAAAAAGGGGTTCACAGGGCTAAGCCCAGCCTAGGACTGTAGTTCTCCCGGCAGCCCACAGTGGAGGCTAACACACACACCTTCATGCTAGTTTCTTGCTATACGGGAGAATCTTCAAAAAGTTTGTGAAAGACATGTATAGTGAAACAACTATGCATGGACTTCAAAAACTTTTTGTACCAAAATAAACTTTATTCTTTTTTTGGGGGGGAGAGATTTTTGCTATAGGGCGCATGCTCTCACCATAAAGATAGAGAGACAGAGAGATGGGAAGTGAGAAATCACCCCCTGGGGGGATGGCCACGCCGCAATCCCTTCACTTCAATTCTCCTCTCTGGATCTTGGGCATGCACGCACACATCAAGGAAGTAACAAAGAATGGAAGAGGAACCATATCCTATAGCCAGCTATTTTTTTGTACTCAAAAAATATCTAACCCAATGTTAGCCATATAATTATTACATGCTAATTTAATGTATTATTCAATTTATTATCTTCTATTTGATTAATTAGTATTAGAAACAATATTCCAATTACAAATGCATGAATTTATTAATGCACAAGTTATGAATGTCAGATAAGAGAACAGGACCACCACCTGGGCTATAATTCAACCAGACTTATGTGAATAAATGAGACCAAGAATTGCTCATTTGTTGACCCTTACCTCATGTTCTCTAGAGTTGACAAAGTGCATTCAATCAGTATTCAGAGAGTTTTTCTTTTTTATTATTTTTTTGCGGGGAGGGGCATGATCTACCACTTGGCCAGGCTTAACTACTACAGAGTAATAGGAAAAAGCACAAGACACCAGAACAGATATCTGGTTCCAATGACTTTCTCTCTTGAGGGATATAAAAATACAAAAGGAACTGTATAAAAAGAACATTAAATACAGGAGCTATTGACTCGAACACCAAAAAAGTTAACTGATTGTTAATTATTACACCAATCATAAAGTATGGAGATGAGTAAGACTTATTTTCTTTCTTTTTTTTGTTTTTGTTTTTAATTTTTGCCAGAGGACCCATACACTTGCCAGAGAGAGAGAGACATAGAGACAGAAAGCGAGAAATCACCCCCCAGGGGGGATGGTCACGCCGCAATCCCTTCTCCTCCATTCTCCTCTCGGGATCTTGGGCATGCACACACACGCGCCCAGCGTGAGTTCTAAGCCACCGGGTCCAGGATGCGAACTGCGGTTGACTACGTGGGAGTCCAGTGACATAGCCATTACGCTAACTGCTGGTTCCCTAATAATTCTTTTTTAAAAAAGCTTTAGTGCTCTTATTGTTTTTCCTTTTTCTCTATTTACTTTTTTGTTTATTTCTTTCTTTTTAAAGAATTAATTTTAATTTGACCAGAGAAAGTGAGAAAGTAAGCCACCAGGTCTGGGATGCTAACTGTGGTTGGCCAAGTGGGAGTCCATCACCTCAATCTTGCAAACTGTTGGCCTCATTTTTTTTTTTTTGGTCTAAAGGGTACATACATTTGCTGGAGAGAAAGAGAGACAGAGATAGAAAGAACCCAATAAGGTGTGGTCACGCCACAAATCTTTCTAATTTATTTCTGTATCCCCTGATGATTTTGGGCATGCACACACACCTGGCATGCTTTTCAAGCAACTGGGGTGAACCATGAGTCGACCATGGTCAGCCATGTGGGATCCAGCTCAGTTCCCAATGCACAGGGCTTACCCACCATGCTACAGAGCCAACACTAGTGCCCTTACTTCTACCAGTGTCTCAAAAACAAAAGATAGCAAACTGGCTAACATAATTATGCTGACAGGTGCCTGTCAGACAGGCTACAAAGACATTATACTGACAAGAACATTTCAAAGATTGTATTCTTACCAGAAATGTAAGAAATGTAAGAAACTTACCATTTAGTATATTCCCATAACTGGAGTATACTGAAGCTAACTGGGCTCTCAGAGGATACACCGATAGGGGGCATGGTATTAGTGTCAAATTTTAGCAGTTTCTTGAGGTGAGCCACAGTACCTAACCTTGACTTTGAGTAATGACTCTCTGATTAGCAGCTAATTCAACTGAGATACTATCTACCATGTTCTCAGCCAAACTGGGCCAATCCACGGACTGTTGACTATTTGACTGATGGTTAAAGACACAGAGGAAAGGACTATAATCAACGGGACATCTTATACTTGTGCTGCTTACTTTGCTCATTTGTAAATTTAAAGGGATGAAATAGAAGTCTCTGAGATTTCATTGTTTCTAATTGTCTATAATTTTCTTCTTAAAAAACAGAACTTTGTCATTCAATGATCATTACTGACAGCCCAGCCCATGGACCAGATCTAGCCTGCAGGCTGGTTTTGTACATACAAGTCTGACCGGGATGCTGTTCTATCCATTTGTTTCTGTCTGTGACTGCTTTCTTCCTAGAATGGTAGGGACAAAGTTGGGTGTTGCTTAGTAGAAGAAAGGTTGTCGTATGTTCCACAAGCCTAAAATACTCACCATCTGGCAATTTATAGATAATGTCTGCTGACTCCTCAACGAGATGGTGAAATAACCATTCACTGAATTCTAAAAAGTATTTACGTTTCGAGTCCAGTGAGGAAAAGTGATCATTTGACCACAGAGTTTATTTTGGGCATCTTATACTTACTTGGGTAAACCTTTAATGCAAGCAGCCAAGTCCTTGGTCATAAAGCCAGCCTCAATGGTCTCAATGCAGACGTCTTCCAGAGCCTTTGCGAAGAAGTCAAGCTCTTTATTGTTATCAAGCTTTGCTCGATGGGCTAATCCTCTAGTCCAGGCAAAAATGGAAGCTAAGCGGGAGTGGGGGGTGGGGGGGAAGAAAAACATATTTCTTTTAATATTGTTATTATTATTTTTGACACAGGGCACATGCATTGGCCAGAGAGACAGAGAGAGGGAAAGTGAGAAATCGCCCCTCAGGAAGGATGGCCATGCTGCAGTCTCTTCTCCCCCATTCTCTCTTCAGAAGTCTGGGTGTACATGCACATGTACCTGGCTTGACTTTCAAGCCTCCAGGTCTGAGGCTTGAACCATGATTGACTATAGGGGAGTATAGCACCTTAACCACCATGCCACCGGCTGGTCCCAGAACGAACATATTTCAATTATCCCAGTTATAGGGATTCCCAAATGTTTCACAGTTCCTCAAAACAGACTTTTAAAAAAAAATTTAAGTGACAGACTTCATTAGATGCTGTCCACTTGGGTTAGAAGCGTTAAGAGAGTTGATACTTTCTCACACAGGAATTAAAAGAAAGCACATTTTCACAGTGTGGTATTAGTGCTTGAAGCTTAAGGAATTTACTAATTTGGAAAAGGTCACAATCTCTTTTATATCTTGTCTATATTGGTTTCCTCTTTCCTGGCTGTAATCTCTTTTTAAAGTGCCGTCTTTGAATCCTTGCTAGAAGGACTTACCCATGTGGGTTTTAGATTTGCATCTTATGTGATGTTTCACTACGCAAGAGGTATAGTGCTTGTTGAAAAATTCTTCTCTGTAATGTATACTCTCCCACAAAATAGAAAGGCAATATTGTTGATGTTAAGGGGCATATTAAAATAACTCTTATTAGCAGAACAAGTCAGCTGTTTGGTGATGACTTTGTACGCAAATAACTGGCAGTCAGAGGAACTCAGAGATCTCCTTTGCAGAGTGCTCTCTGGTGAGAAACCCATGCAGAAGGAAACACCATCTTACCAATGGGATTGGTGGATGTCTCCTGTCCTTTCTGGTACATGCGGTAGTGACGTGTTACAGTCCCGTGGGCAGCCTCTGCTTCTACTGTTTTGCCATCAGGACAAACCAGCACACTGGTCATCATGCCAAGAGAGCCATAACCTGTAAGTGGCAGAACATGAAGTGTTGAGTTCAACTGCACAAAGTGCACTGGGTCTCTCAGAGCTCAGAGTACACAATTCAGTCTTGACAGGTCTTGGTAAACATGAACACATGAAGTCATCAATAATTCCCCAGCCTCTCAGAAAGCAGGAGCCTCAGAGTGCAAAGGTCTGCAAAGGCTGACTTTTTCCTCACTTATCTCAGGGGCACCAGCCCATGATGGAGGGCTCAGGGTCCAGCTGCCTGCTTTCCAGTATAGTTCTGTGACTTCACAACTACTGTGGCTCAGTTTTCTCACCTGTACAATGGGAAAAATACTGGGTTGTTGGAAAAGTCATGGCGTATATTTTTGTTTTTCTATGCAAAAATGTGTCATGACTTTTGGGACAACCCAACATTACCTGCTTCACTGAGTTATTGTAGGATTAGGAAAATACACATACATCCCTGAGTGTCTATAAATAGAATATATATCACAATCCTTAGAAGGGTACCTGCCAGAGTAAGAGTGCTACATATCGCTGTTACTGTCATGTGCATATGCTCTGCAATTCTGGGGAAATGAAGAGTACTGAGAGTCTCCTGCCCCCACACTACTCATAGGCTTGCTGAGACGGGAAATCTCAGCAAGAACATCCCACTTGCCCTTCCTTGTTCTCATGAATAACCTCAACGATTATCTTCTGTGGTTTGCTATTCAGAGAATCACATTATACTTTTAAGTCCATATGACTGATTTTTCTTATTATTTGATTTATTTATTTTTTAAGGTTCTTGCCATATGGTACCTGTGCTTGCTAGAGACAGAGAGAGACAGTAAGAAGGAAAGTGAGAGATCATCCTCTGTGGGGGATGGCCACACTGCAGTTCCTCCTCCTCCATTCTCCTCTTAGGATTCTGGCCAAGCACACATGCACATGTGCCCAGCGTGATTTTTGATCCACCGAGTTCAGGACTCAAACCATGGCTGGCCATGTGAAAAATCTAGTACCTTAACTACCATGCCACCTGCTAGCCTGATTATTTTCTTCTTTTATTTGCTCTTTTGCACTTGAATCCAAATAACCTTTTTCTCCATTTTTGCTACTTTCTGAGAGCACTTACAATGTTAATGTAAACTTAAATAGCCTGCTTCTTTTTGTTGTTGAAGACTAAGTAGATTATAATTTTATTTTAGTTTTTATAGTCAACTAAGTTCAGTTAAGATATTTTTGTGTCAGAGCCAGCAGGTGGTATGGTGGTTGTGGTGCTGGACTACCACATAGCCGACCAGGGTTCGAGTCCTGGACCTGGTGGCTTGCTTTCTCACTTTCCCTCTCTCTCATGTCTCTCTTTGGTCAGATTAAAAAATAATAATAATAAATAAAATTTAATTTAAAAAGCTATTTCTGTGTGATTAGTAGCTCCTCTTATACCATTGTTTTAGTCTGAGGCATCATACTCAAATATTTATTGATTACAGAAGTTTAGAATCATACCTCTGGTGAGTTTGTCTATTAATATTAGGAGACACTGATTGGTACCAATGTCAAAACTGAGGCCATAGGTGATGTGACATTTCACTGAAGTAGAGGTAAAAGAAAGTGCTTATTGACAACATTCTCCTCTCATTGACATTACTGAGTCCTGTTTAGTTGCCTTGCTAAATTACTGGGTTGTTGGGAAAATCATGACACATTTTGCATAGAAAAATACATCATGGCTTTCCCGACAACCTAATACATTATCTACAGGCCTTGGATGGAACTTTGGTTCCAGGTCTCTTATTAAAGCACTATTGCGTACTGTATTTCAGAATTCTTCTTTCAAAGTCCTTTGAACTTCCATAACTTGATATTTACATGTGGAATATTTCTCTAGATGCTCTCTTGTTGTTGCCAGGAGGATACTTAAAAATGGTAGAACGATTAAGGGTCTTTTTCCAAGAACTCTGATTAGCAGGGAGAGTTTTATTTATCTACTATGGAGTCATCAGAAAGCAGCACTCCTTCCTCAGTTCATTCACTACAAATGACTATAGGATTCAGAGAAACAGGAGGCTAAGGAGTTGTGAAACTCATTATCTGCTATAAAAGTTATCTCCCACCAGATTTTAAAACTGATAGGAGATGCTTAACTTTAATAAGAGAAGGAAACCGAGTACTTCCTGGGGAAAAGCAAACACAATTAAAGTGAACACAAACATTCACCAAGGGTCATTCAAGTTTTACACAGCTACCATGGGTGACTGGAACTGAAGGGCAATTTGGTATTCAGGAAGTCAGGGAA